GACTAGAACTCACCATGTCCTCCTGGGTTTTAGCTTGATGCTTTAACCACTAGTCCACACTGACTCTCAGTTACACAAGAGAGCAGACTGAATGCAAACGGAGGTCGCAGTACCTGTTCCCAGGAGATGATTGTGTGTCGCTCAGCCGGTTCTTTTTCTACAAACATGACTTCCGTAACTCCTGGAGAGGTTTCTACAACAACAGACAACACAGAAACGCCAGGCGTTCCGTTGCTCAAAAACGGTACGAAATATAAGGAGAACTAGGGGGGGAAAAAAACCCTGGGAAAATTTTCACACTTTTTGAAAACAAACAAACAACGAAACTTAATTTCTCTTTTCACTGTTGCAAATATATTATTCTTGTAAGAAAAAAAACTGATTTTTGGGAGGGAATGATTTGGTAAAGAATCTGCATTTTACAAGAATTCAGTTTGTCATTTTTTCAGGGGGTTGGACTAGAAGACCTCCAAGGTCCCTTCCAACTGTGATATTCTATTCTATTCTATTCTATTCTATTCTATTCTATTCTATTCTATTCTATTCTATTCTATTCCATTCCATTCCATTCCATTTTTTATTCTATTCTATTTTCTATTCTATTTTCTATTCTGTTTTATTCTATTCTATATTTTATTCTATTCTATTTTCTATTCTTTTCTTTTCTATACTATACTATACTATTTCATGCCCATGGCAGGACTAGAACTCACCGTCTCCTGGTGATTGGCCCTATACTATACTATACTATACTATACTATTCCATTCCATTTTTTATTCTATTCTATTTTCTATTCTGTTCTATTCTATATTTTATTCTATTCTATTTTCTATTCTTTTCTATTCCATTCTATTTTCTATTCTATTCTATTTTCTATTCTGTTCTATTCTATATTTTATTCTATTCTATTTTCTATTCTTTTCTATTCCATTCTATTTTCTATTCTATTCTATTTTCTGTTCTATTCTATATTCTATTCTATTTTCTATTCTTTTCTATTTTGTATATGTTATTCTATTCTATTCTATTCTATTCTATTCTATTCTATTCTATTCTATTTTCATAGAATAGAAGATACTTTTTTCAGCCCAACTCATCACACAGGGCGGTTGTTATGGGAGAATTTCTACTGACACAAGAACCACCCTGCGAGGTAGGCCAGGCTAAGCGAAAAGTACGGGTTCAAAAATCCCCCCCCCCCAGATAGCAGAGAGAGGACTAGAATATAGGCCACCCACCCCAATTAGGGCTTTAATCCCTACATCACAGTGGCCCTATGGATCTTAAAGTTCACAGAGGCAGGTATGGGGATAATGGGAGATGTAGTCCAAACACAGAGAGCCTCTGGATAGGGAAGGTTGATAGAAATGATTAGAGAGATTCCATTTCCTGATTAAAGGTAGTCCTTGACTTACGACCGCAATTGCGAACCTAATTTGCATTGCAAAGCAAGGGGTGAGGGGAATCTTAAAGGAGTCCTAAACAGGATTTTATGACCGTTTTTGCCATAGTTGTTTTGCGAATCACAGAGCCGATTAGCAAATCTGGCTTCCTTCACTGACTTCGCTGGACGGAAGCCAGCTGGGAAGGTCACAGATTGTGACCATGGGACACTGCAACCGCGGTAAATACACGCCTACATTTTAACCTCTGATACAGTGACGGGTCGTAAGCGCGAGGACCAGTTAAGTCATTTTTTCTCTCTCCCAGCGCCGCCACAACTTCAAACAGTCGCTAAACGAATGGCTCCAATAAAGGAGATTATTTGTCCTCTGAAATGAAGGGTAGTCCTCCACTTACGACCACAATTTATGTTGCTGAGTGAGAAATTTGTTAAGTGAGTTTTCCCCCCTCTCCTGTTTTACGACTTTTCTTGCCTCCATCGTTAAGTGAATTGCTGTGGTTGTTAAGTTAGTAACCCGGTTCACCAAGGGGAGGCGGCCATGGTCATAAGTGTGAAAAAGGGTCCTCCTAAGCCACTTTTCCCAGCGCCGTCGTAACTTTGAACCGTCACTAAGAAAACCGTTGGAAGTTGAGGACTACCTGCGTTGCGTGAAGGCTTAGTGCTGGCTAACATGGACTGAATATTATATATAAAAAAAACACCTTCCTAAAAGTAGTTGGGTGACCCAGAAGGAGGGTGGACTCTTCACTGGAGGCGTTGAAGGCAAGTTTTGGAAAACTGCTGTCTTTGAGAACCTTGGATCTGGATCCCTGCCCTGAGCAGGGGGTGGACTGGATGATCTCAAGGGTTCCTTCCAACTCTAGGATTCCTGACCTCCTGCTATAGCATAATGCAATTTAGGTTTGCGGTGGGGGGATGTCCCCAAGAGGACAGCCATCTCCCCACCCAGTAGGCACAGCTGCCCGCATTTGTCTAACCCAGGCGGATTCAACAAGCCATAGTTAAACAAACCATAGTTTAGCAGAAACCACGAAAGCAGGGGATGCGATGTAATACAGCTTTCCTTTTAAAAATGATGGGAAATTTTCTCTGGTGTGAAAGAAGGAGAAGTAAGACCTTCCCGTGGCAGGAAATATATATATATATATATAATAAATATTAAATCAAAAACAAAAACAAAGTAGAAAAATAAAAGAGGATAAAAATAAAAAAGCCAAAAATGTAAAATAAAAACTAAAACAATAAAGAACTCAAAATAAAAGATAAAAATAAAACAGAAAAACCAAAAATAAAATAAAAGGATAAAAATAAGGATAAAAAAGTAAAATAAAAATATGACAAAATAAAAATAAAGCAAAAACTAAAAATAAATAAGATCAAAATAAAATGATAAAAATAATGAATAAAAATCAGACAAAAGTAAAATAAAAAATTAGAAATAAAAATGAAGTAAAAAAAAAACAAAAATAAAATAAAGGGATAAAAATAACAAAGACAAAAGTAAAAAAAATAATGAAACAAAAATAAAGTAAAAACTAAAAATAAATAAGATCAAAATAAAATAATAAATAAAATGATAAATGAAAATAAGACAAAAAGTAAAATAACAAATAATAAAATGATAAAAATAAAGTGAAAACTAAAAATAAGTCAGGTAAAAGTAAAACCAAAAAATAAATAAATGAATTAATTTATATAAAACGATGTGGAAAAGAATCAAGGTCTCCATTTGGATATCACAGCTGGAATCTTCAGATCAGGAATTTGAAATCAAATTATTTTTTCCATGAGGGTGGACAGGAGACCACCAGGAGATCTTCAGGCGGTAGGCAAACCCCCCCCCCCATGGGAAAATAAAAATCCCAGCATCGGGAGGGGCAGTTGGGGGGACAGTTGGGGAGCCTGAAGCCCCCCACATCGCCTCCCCGGGAAAAGCGGGGTTCTCTCTTGTTGCTGCCCGCGGAACTCCCTGCCACTTGATAACTGGCAGGACCGGCCGGACCGTCACCCTGGCAACGCGAAGGGGCGGGGCCCAGCTGCCACTCACCCAGGAGGCGGGTCACCCCGAGGGTGAGCTTCTCCAGGTAGGGCTTCACGCCTTGCAAACCCCGGTCCTCCATCTCTCCGCAAAGCCACCAGGCGGAAGTCTTTTGTCCCTTCTCGCCACCCTTATCCCCCTTCACTCTCACTCACACACCCGCCGCCGCATAGCATCATACACAATCCGTTCGTTGACTCGCGCGATGCTTGACGGGAGCGGTAGTCCCACTCGGGTACAGATTCCTGAGAGAGAAGGAAAGTAAAAAGAAGAAAAAACTACACCTCCCACAAAGTCCCGCGGTGGGTTTTTTATTTTTTTTTCCCCTTGCCTTCTGCGGGAGATAACCATTGGCTGTTGGCAAGACTCCGCGTTGCCGGGGCCGTATCTGGGCAAAGCTTGGGCCGGCTAGCCAATGAGGAGCGAGGATAGGCGTGCGGGGCGGGGTGGGGCGGAGGGACGCTGGGAGTGGCGGTTGTTTCAAGATGGCGGATGTAGCCGAGGGGTTGAAGCCGGAAGGAGCCGCTTACTGGAGCCGGGACCGTATCCTTTATTCGGGGGCGAGATGGGCGGCTGGTCATGGGGTGAGGCGGCTGACAGAAGGGAGCTTGGCGGGCTTGTCCTGAGGGGAGGCCGTGGCCTGGCAGCGGGGACGCGGAGAACCATTGCTGGGTAGCCTCTGAACATGTACAGAGTGCCGGCTTTTTTTTTTCTTTCAGTAGGAGTTTTCTCTCCTATAGAGTTGTGGCCTTGTGTGTGGCTCGGAAAGATAAAGCAGTCTTCCTCAGCCTGGTTGTCTTTTAGACTACAACACCCATTCTCCACAGTCTGCGGAGCTTTTGCTCTTTTGCTCTTCCATCAGGGAGGGACTCCAGTTCCCATCCTCCTCAG